TAGTAGTACTAGTAGCTGTTCCTTAATTATACAATAAAAATAAGTTAAAATTAAGAAAATTAAAAATAAATAACAATTTATTTAATTTGAGGGCAACAAGAGAAATGGAGGGGAAACAGATTTTCCTTTTTTATCTAATCAAATTATGATGTTGGATTAAAATCTTAATTTGATTAAATAAAAACATTCTCCTCGCCTCCTTTGTCTTCTCTATCTCTTTAACCAAATAAATTATAAATCTTATTATGTGATTTTCCTTCTATTTTAATAAAGAATCAAAGAATACATATTTTTAAAAGAATAAAATGAATACATATTTTTCATTCACCCTTAATTAAAAAGAAAATTATTAACATTAAAATTTAGTTATTCTTAACTTTTTTCTAAAAAATTTTCAATATTATTTTATTTTTGTAATTTAACCATCAAATATTCACTCCAACAAAACCAAACATAGCCCAAATTCCTAAAAGAGAAAATCATAAGTTTTTTTTTTTCCTTTTTTCGCATGTAAAAATTAAAATTGAACTTTAAACTTAAAATTTTTCTATCCTGTATCCTAAGATTAAAAGGGTCTTTTTGTCATAAATATATATAAAAAAAATATAAAAATTGACATTAATTTTAAAGTTATTGTTATTTGGATAAATTTAATTAAAAAATATTAAATTAAATATTAATATTTATTTTTTCAAAACTCTTAACTTATGCCCTTAAAATACAAACTAACAAACCCTTAAACTTATAATGAGATGATAAATAATTCTATCATTACATCACATCAGATAATTGACTGTAACCATAAGGTAATTTAGAGGAGTTATACATCTCGTGCTCGCAGGCGTAAGTATAGCCACCCTATTATGGTAGCTCAAAAAGAAAGTACCCAAAACGAGTTATTCCAGGTGGGAATCAATAGCCGGGGGCGAAAGGAATAGGAGCGAGTGGGAAACTGGAGTACAAGTCTTGTTTTTCTTTCTGCTAGTCAACAATGAGAAATATAATATAAAAGTAAATTTGGGATTTCAATTTTAATACGACTATCGTAGTTTCCCCTTGAGGTCATGCGTGACTTAGCAATTTAATGGGGATGCGGTCTTTGGATTTCTAGTGAAAAGACTACTTTCGAGATATCTAAAATTTGGCCCAAAATTATGCCCGGTTAATTCGAAAAGACTCTGATTTTTTTTCTTTTAAAAGAAGTCCTAAATTCAAAATATGACACCGAATAAGGTAAAAACAAATGAATAAAAGAAATGGCTATCTTTAATTACATTTATGGATTAGTGTTTATTGGTCTTATCTCTTAAAAATCAGGAAAAAAATAATTTTAAAATTATAGTTTTTCAATAAATTATTATGAGGAAAGATCAAAAACAATTTTATTTTTACTTTAAAAATAGTCTTTTAGTATTTTTAATAAAAATTTATTAAAATAACATAATTTTCAATTGATTTTCTTCATAATTTTTTGAGAAATAAGACAAATGGGTACTATTTCCTTATATTTATATGTCACCAATCTAAATAAATAGAAAAGATTATCTTTAATTGTACAATATAAATAATCAATCAAAATAAATATCTGAAATACTGAGATATCTAAATTTAGATTTCCTATCCTTCCTTTTTTCGTTCTCTCTACTTCTCAACCCATATCATTGTATAAAAACAAACGAAAAGAATACTTCCATCTTAATCAAATAACCAAAATTTATAATTAAAATATGTTTCCTCTATTTTATACAAATATATTTATGCTCCAATTTTAGCTCTATCCATTGATATTAAATTTATGTAGTTGAATCTTACTTGGAGAGGTTCTTCCCAAGTTTATCTCTTCTAATTTGCTATGTAGGGCGGGAGGGATCATGGCCATTGGCCACCATGTATTGTCCATTGACAAAGGAACAAACTGATGATTTCATTTATCAAAAAAATAAATCTTCTACTTCAGCAGGTCATGTCAGTAACAGGATTCTTTGATTAATGCCTTCAAATTGTCCATTAATAATTCATAAAAATTAATCATTATCTTTTGTCCAATAGCTCAAGTGGGTGCTAATCTAAGGGCTTAACTTTTGGTGCTTTAGGACATGTATTACGTAGCCACAATCCATGTGTCATGTCTCCCATTAGCTCCATTTGTAGGACACGGTAGTATATCCAAATGAGAACAATTAGAGTACGTACCCCTCAAAGTTGCACCCGCGTCTTGCTTCTCAGGCGTGTTGATAAAAATGCAACTCCCCCTACCCAAATATTTGTAATTGTTAAGAAAAAACAAAAAGGGTATCTATCCTTCAGATTAAGCTTTAATTCAATTTCCTCTTAATTTCTTGGCAGAGCCACCCCAGTGGCTGCAAGGCTTTTGGGCTTTGGTTTGCTTCTCTTGTAGAAGGAAACTTTTTTTGTAAAGTTTTTATGAATTCCTTTGATGAAGAAATAAGTATTAGGACAAGTGGAATTTCACATTCCAGGGTAAATAAAAGGATGTGAGTTAAAGTGAGGATTATGAATAAATAAAATATTCAGTACATAATTAGGGGATTATTTGGAAAAAAAAAATCAAAATATCCAATCATATAGCAATAAAATGAGTGAGATATAATGTAAGTGTCATCTAAGTTCTATTTATAATATAGTTAAAATTAAATATCTTAATATTTTTAATATTCAGACTTTTATTTATTTATTTTTTTTATAGTTAATTATCAATTTTTTAAAACAACCAATTTAATCATTGATCTTTAATTAACTCCAATAAAGGAAAATAGTGATCCCTATTTACTCTTCTTTTTTTTTTTTTGACCAAAAAAACTCTAGCTAGTATTATATTTAGGAAAACCTAAGGGCATCGTGTTTGGTTTCATTAAGGCGACAATATTTCTAGCCTGTTTGGCTTAGGAAATAAATTCTCCAGGTATAAAACTCGATAAGGAAGGTAATCAATTTTAATGAGCAAAATATGAGATAGTAGACTATAATACATTATAATCGGCCATCAAGCCTGGATTTGCTTTCCAAATAAAAAATTAATCTCAAAAGATTTTCTTTTGGGATACATAATTGGTTAATTTACTCTAAAAGTATTGATTATATATCACTTAAACCACCTACTTTGTAATTGTGAAAAACTTCAAAATCTTCTTTCATTCAAATCTTCTCTTTGGTTGACCTGCAAATCCCGAGGTTGGTTCTCAAGGTAGACACTCCGATACCTAAATGAGTAATAATCAAGTCTACTAAAAGACACAAGAACTAAATTTGAGATCGGTTGTAATTACCTTTAGAGAAAGACCCTTGAGGGTATTTATAACTTTCAAAGAAGTGTCCACACGTTCTTTCTTGTGGAAAATTGGGATTATGTGTCCATCATCACAAAAATATCTCATATAAAGTTTGAGTATGTGTACGGACTTACTGTAGATCTAGAATGGAAGTGACGAGCTCAACCTCATCTGAACTCTTCACACTTCTTTAAGAGAAGTCTAAGGCCCCTTGAGGTCATCCGTCCAAAATAGTTTAGCTCGTCCAAGGTCATTTACCTAGGACTATCATCACATACTTGTTTAGAAAACTGTACAAAGAAAATTAAAATCTTGGCTGTAGGCGGCTAAAAAAATTATGTTGGCTTTCCGAAATTGAAACCAAACACACCTTAAGAGTTAAAGTAGGATTGTAAAGTTTAATTTGCAATGATATATTTACAATGAGACACATAAAGTTGTAAGTTTATGACTATAGTGTATCTTTAAATGAATGAATACATATAACATCATAGATGAGCCTTCAAATAAAAAGAGTTATATGAACTTATAATGCCATGTATGGCAATATAAATATATCATTTCCAAAGTTAAACATACCAAATAAACTAACGTGGAAGTAATACAAATTTAAAAAGAATGATAGGAAAATTATCCCTAAAAGGTTTTTATTGGCAAATAAACCCCTAATGAAATTTTGGTGGCAAACCCATCATTGAACTTACAAACAACTCATAAGTAAATATAGGTAGACGCCAAAACTTCCACATATAAGGAAAGAAAAAGGCTCATGATCAACCCTCTACCCTTCAAGAAATTTCAAGCATTTTAGATTACTCATTGATGGAAATAATCATAGAAGTTCTAAAAGCCTACAAAGTTGTTTGGATTCAAAGTCTAGCACAATAGAATCATAAAAGCTCAATAGCAAACACGTGCCTAATTAAGATTATTGTCTCTTCTCATAATTCAAGTAGCACCTGCTAAAGCAAGACAAGTCCGCATCAAGGATATCTAGAAAAAGCCCTTCCTACTCATATTCTAGACTGATGTACCATGAAGTCACACTTCGTAAAGACTACCAAAGGTTGATCACGGAGTAAAACTAAATAAACCAAGAACTAGTGTACCAAATTCAAAAAATAGATAAAAAAATCCTAAGGACTAATTTGGAAGCCCTGAGAAAAATGAGGGACTTGATTCATAATTTCCCATTTTTTCCTACCCTCGGCCTCCAAAGAGCACCAATTGATTTCGCCAATGCTACCAGCCATCTTGGCTCCCATACACACCCCTTCCATCCCCCCATGCCATCCTGACCTCCACTGGCAATTCCACCGACTTCGTGTGCGCCCGCTACTCCTGGCAGCGACTCTTCCTTTGTTTTCCTTTATAATTTAAACATAACCAAACAAAGAAAAGGCAGAGGATGGAAGAGAAAAGAAATGGATGGATATTGTCTCCCTTCCCCTTTGTTTTTTTCAAACCAAACAGGGAGTTAGACTATAGTGCTTGCATATGTA